AATGACACAGTTTATAGTTTTGATTTATGGTTTATAGTATTATTTATGTTTATAGTTTTGATTTATGTTGCTGTAAATGACATAGCTTATACTTTTGATTGCTGAGTAGTATTCCATTGTGTATATATACCACATTGTCTTGATTCACTCATCAGTTTGGGGGTACATTTTACAGTTTTTCTGTTAACACAAATGTTAATCTATAAAATAGTCTATCTAAAAACAAGTCCCTTTAAAGCCATACTCTGACAAATGCTTAAGAGAACAATGACCACATAAGTAGGTTTAATAAAGCAGAATGAAGTAAAAAACAAAAACCTGGTAGATTTGCTTTGTTCATATCAGAGTTATTCATAAGTCAAAGAAGTGGAAACAACCTAAATATCAATCAATTACTGAATAAATAATCAAAAGATGGTTATATCTACACAACAGGATATTATCCAGTCATAAACAGGAATGAAACACTAATACATTCTACAGCTTTGAAAACATTATGCTGAGTGAAAGAAGTCAGACCAAAAAGGTACATGTTGTATGAAATGTATATAATAGTCTAATCCATAGAGTAAATTAGTGTTTCAGGGGTGAGGAAAGAAAAAAAATGGGGAATGACTGTAATAGGCATGGTTTATTTTCAGATGAAAATGTTCTGGAATTAGAGAGTAGTAATAGTTAATACAAGTTTGTGAGTTGACTTAAAACAATTATTTGTATACCTTTAAAGAGTAAAATTTATGAAAATGTAAAAAGTGAATTTAATGGCACATTAAATTTTTTTTAATGACTTAAAGGTTTACATGCACAGGACAAGCAAACTGGGGTAGGTGTTCTACTGTCCAGAACTGAATCCAACTTTGAGATTCATGGAAGTTAACCAATAAGGAAACCTTCCAGATCATATAGTTCCTATATAGCAAATGAAATTTGAAGCTAGGAAATTTTTACTGGGAATATACATTAGGGGAAAATTACAATATAAATCCTTACATTGTGAACTATTAGATAATATAATAGGTACTGTCTTTGTGGTTTTACCCAAGACACAGAAACATTCCTTGAAAGGATATTTCTTCTTTTCATCAACTCTAAAAGATAAGTGAATAAAATAAATTGCAACTTCATAAGGAAATTTTTGCCAAAATTGTACAATGTGTTTCCAGATGATATAAATTTATGTAGCAATAATGCTTGTGGAGTCAAGAGACCGAGAAAGTCAGATTCCCTTAAACCAACTTCCTCATATACCAGATGTCTCAACTGAGCATTTGGCATGTATTAGAGGGCAGTCTAAATCCTGATTTGTATTGTTGACTAAATAAATGTCCATATGTTTTTGATATTGGACATGCAGGTAGCAGAATCAATATACTGTCATGAAAATTTAGGGGCCTGATTTATATTCTTGTCTAATCAAATAGTCATCAGACTTCCAATCTAAGGTGAACACTGGAGCTACATCCAGATGTGGGTAAAAGGTCTTTCAAATTCAAGAAATATCTCTGAATCTTCTTGTTTGGACATATATTAGTCAAGAGCCTAACATTTGCACTAGATATGGAAGGTGTTATTTAGATCTGACTATTTTTAAGTGTAGATATTTTTGGCCAATTGCCTCTATCATTAAAGCATTTAATTAGAATCCATGTAAAACATATAATTTGATATAGATCTACCTTTTTGACAAACCACCTTTAAAATGAACATTCTCAAGTAGATGAATGACCTTTTCAGAATATATGACATGTGGACACTGTCCAACAGGGTTTTTCTCTAGCTATGTTTACTGAATGAATAAGTGAATGTCTAATAAGTTTATATTACAATATCAAAATAATAGAGTTGAAATTTTTTTCTTACATAGTTTTATTAGGAATGATATACACAATGCTATAAATGAAGCATTCTCAAATGACAACACATCTGAAATTGTTTCCTAACCTTAAGTTCTGGTTGTTTACTCATGTCTTCCCCAGTACTAGCTCTTTGATGATGCTTTTCACCTTGGTTTCCTCCACAAAATGTCTACTCTAGCACAGGACCCATAAGCAGATACTCAGAAATAATGGAAGGGATACTGAGTAGAATGAGATGAGGTTGCTTTTTCAACAAGTTTCTGATGCAGAGTATGTTGAAGGTATAAAGACAGGTCAGTAAAGTAGATACTATGTTCCAGAAGCCAATGGAAGGTAGATTTTCCTTATGTCCTCTTTCTGGCAATGGAGTGTACGCCAACCATCTACTCATGTCCAGACAGACCCTCCACTTGGAAATGTTATACTTGGAGGAAATGACTTGAAGGCTCAGGGCTATTGTAATTTATTTGATGCATCGGTGGTAGCATTGTGAATTGTGGTAGCGTGGCAGCTAGTCTCCACACAGTGGGGTAAGCAGGGAGTCTACTAAACTGCCCATTCTACAATAGCAATTTGGACTCCTCTTGCCTACTGTCTGCATTTCTCCTCAGCCTGGCTCTCCAGAATTCTACCAATTTCTGAGCCACACCAATAAAGAATAAACTGAAGATTATCAAAAACTACAAAATACTAAGTGAGGTTATCATTTTTTAACTTACTTTCTTGGAGAACTTATCACTACTTGCTCATTAAGTCAGTCAAACAACAGCCCTCTCTGGTGGCACAATGGATTAAAACACAGTACTAAAAAGTGATTCCCAGCCAGGGGGGTAACCCACATGGAGTGGCAGACCTCTCCTGACCTGCCTGCTGCTCCCCTCAGCTGTGTACTTTGTCAGTCTGCCTGTTCTGCTTCCTACTCTGTCTCTGGTGAATCCTCTCATCCCTCATAACTCTGGCCTGTACCCCAGTTCTTTTTTTTAAAGATTTTATTTATTCATACAGAACTTGGGTACAGGCCAGAGATGCGGAGGGTGAGAGGATTCACCAGAGACAGAGCGGGGAGCAGAACAGGAAGATTGACAAAGTACACTGCTGAGGGGAGCAGCAGGCAGGTCAGGAGAGGTCTGCCACGCCATGTGGATCTCCTCCGGGGCAGGCGGGAATTGAACTCATGTGGAAGTGGCTTAAGCTTCTTAGTGCTGTGCTTTAACCCACTGCGCCACCAGGGAGGGCCCAAATAAATCTTTTTTTAAAAAATAGTGATGGTCTTTCAATCATCCTGTTCTCTCAGATTTTCCTAGCCCATCTATAAAAAGTTATCATTTGAAAATTTAAACATTCATTTAAATTCAAAATGAATATTTAAATTTCAAATATGTAAACTATCTAAGTTATTGAAATGACATTTTCCTACTATGTTAAGGAAATAAAGAGATTTCTTAAATGTCCAATGTGTAAACAATATCCAAAGATGGAAACCATCAAAATATCTATCAATTAATGAATAGTTTTATTCTGTTGAAGTAATATTAGTCTACAATACTCTATAGGCATCACAAGTAAGTTTTCTCACCTCAACAATGGACTATATTTTACCATGCCTACCTCCAAATGAATGGACAAAAGATTTTAAGGTCTGGTATATCCTTGGGATGGAAAATTATTTAGTCATAAACAGGAATGAAGTACTGATACATGATGCATGAAAACATTTGCTATATGAAAGAAGCCAGATTATGGTGAAGGGTCTACAACATTGTCAGTATACTGAATGGCACTGAATTACATACTTTAAAATGGTTAAAGTGGTGAATTTTATGCTATGGATATTTAATTATGTCATAAAAAATTTTAATCCAATATGAAAAAAAGTGATATAAAGTAAAATAAAACAAGATCCCTTCTATTTCAATGCAATAGGATAGTGTGTCAAAGAACCTTTCTGGTTATAATGTCTTAATAGTTATACCTTCCCCTCAGAACTATCAATGGAGTTATAGGTCATTATGTAGTCAAACTCTCAAATTAAGAAATAACCATGTGGCTTGGTGAAAAGAAAATAACTCACATTCAAAAATTTTTTCAATTATCTCTGATCACAATCATATCCCATTTCCTCAAACACAATAAGGAAGCTATGAAAATGAAACAAAATTTAATGGATCTTGGTTAATATAATTTTTCCAAAGTGTGAAGTTATTTTATTATATATTGCATCAGCTACTTAATCCTCCAAAAATGTGGGTTTTTACATGGGGAAAATGAACTTAACATGCTGGGATTTACAAAATTCTTAAAATTGGGATAACGAAAATGAGCTGGCAGGTGCTAGAGCACAGTTGTATGGCTCATTACTGCAAGATTGGTCCAAGTTTACTCAAAGGAATCCTGGGAAATGCCATTTAGTCAAATGTTTATTCTCTAGTTTATAATTTCTTATCTCTTATTTCTCTCACATCTACAGGCCCCCAAATTTTACATACATAAAAGATAAAAGAAATAAGTATGTGCATATATAAATACAAACATGCACTCACAAATCTATATTCTAAGACCCTTAATTACTTTCTATACCCATTAGAAATGAAAAAGAAAACCCCACAAATATAAGTATCCAACTTTCCAAGTATCTATTTCAGTGCATTTTTATAAAAACTAGAATGCCTTTCATTCTACTAAGAACAAAAAAGGTGAACTATTTCCTGATTTACATTTCCTGCATGACTTAGTGTGAATTGAAATACCAGCAACTCCAAGTTGCTTCTTAAAAATTTTTTGTTGCTTAAAAAGGAATTTTCAATAACCTCTTGGGGGAGAAATCACAAGGTTTTCCCATCCAGGTTTCTCAGAGGAAACCATCATAATGCCTTTATAAATAATGAAAGCAGCTCATTTCAGAAGTACTTAAAATGTAATAGCTACATTTACTTTTTAGTGGCTTCATCAAAGTACATTTTCAACCCACACTCTTCAGAGCAGGTGCCTGTAATTAAACATGGTCCTCTCACCTGATTCATTTCCTGTACCTCTGAGGGCTCTGTGTGAGAGCCTTCCCTCACTCTGCATCCATGAGGAAGATATTATTGCGACATTCCATGAAGCCCTCTGAGATTCATCAATGCTACATACTACTGACCTTACCCTAAACCCATCTGCTTGCAGGCCAGCTGACTCAATGTCTCCTGCCAGCCATCTGCACACACGTGGTATTCCCTGGCAGATCTGTGAGCGGTCAGGAATGAAGAGGAGTTCACATCTTTAGAGAGGGTCACTGAGGAAAAAAAAAAGGGGGGGGGGAACCTTAATTTAAAACATTTCCCCCATGAAACCAAATGATAACATTCTAGGACTTTGCTTCCCTTGCATACATTCATTTCCATTTATTTTAGCTAACTACTTGGTGGGTGCCTACTCTGGGTGAATCACTGCTCTCAGAGGGGTGAAGGACCAAGAAACATGACTTAGAAATGTTCTCTCCTTTAAAGAAACATAGGCTCTAGTGAAACAGGCAGGCTGTTTACAAGTTAGAAGGTCCCGAGAGACAGGGTGCAGACTGTGTCTGTTGTATGACGTGCTGTAAATCACATGCATATCTTCTCAAGAAAGCATAGGAGAGCACAAGTGTTGATGGTGATATTAATTTAGATGAATTCGGAACATACACTTGGATTCCTATCTTATAAGAGAACATCCTTTGTATTTAACAAGCCACAGATCATTTGCGAAACATGCACTTAGTTGCAACACATGTGATAATCATGGTTTGGCCAAGTGAGACAAAGGAAAGAAATAAATGCAGAGGAAGTGGAAAGAATGATGAATGTAAGATGACATTGTGAATCAAATGCAAGATTGCAAACTGCCACACGGAGCTACTGGTAGAAGAAGCTGCTAGGTCCGCTAAGTGAATGGCTGGCAGGACTCAGTCCTGTCCTGTCCTTGTAAGGGAGGAGACAGTTACATGTCCCATTTGGATCTGGAGCACAAGAACAGGGAAGATAGAAGGATCACTTTCATATCCTATCCCAGGAGTCAGTGATACAGGAAAGGCGGACTAGTGATAATTGTTGAAGGTGGGTGATAATAAAAGGTTTAACAAATCTACATTAGCAGTTATACAGCCACCACAATCCAAAATCACATATAAAGGACATTTCAAATACAGTAGTAACTTGGTGGGGATGTTCTAAGAGTTGAAAATAACACCTGAATCACCACCATTAGCTTTTACAATAATAAAGCAAAATAGACGAACTTGGTTAGCAAAAGTTCGTCTCATCTAGCACACAGGTGCCAGAGGGAGAAACAGAGGGCAGAAACAGGCGCTCACCACAGTCCCACTCATCTGAACTGTCCAAGCAGTTGGCGTGGCCGTCACACCACTGATCCCGTGACACACACTCGTGGTTCGCACATTCTATTTCATCATCCCGGCAAAAAGCTGGCAGGGGGAACAAGAAAGGGGATGGTAGAAACATTTTAGAAGCAAATATGATTACCAGTCACACACACTTATCATTGGCCAGTAGGAGCGTGGCAGGAAAAAGACGTGGTCAAGGGGCCTACAAACCAGGATGCTAGGCAGATTTACTGAGTTGGTGAAATGCCGCTTCACAGATGTCAATCCCTACAGATCAAAGCGTTTAAGAGAGACTGGGGTCTGTAAGTGACTAGACTTTCAAGTCAACATCTAATAAAAGGATTGAGGAAGGAGTGCCCAGAGCATCAGAAATGCCAGAGATTAGAGGGGAAAATAAGTGTGGCGTGAGCTGAACATAGAGTGAGCAGACCACAGTCACACTAGCATGGAAACAAGCTCTGCCTACGTGACGGAAAAGGTGGTGGTTTTTTTCTCAATCGCCTACATTAAGTGGCTCTCTGAGACATACTAAATCTCTCTTAGGTTTGAAAAAAATCATAGCAAAACTCCTTGGTGGATATCCTGGCAACTGTTTCCTTTCTTCCCCCCTCTTTCAGGAACCTTATTTTGCTCACTGTGCCCTGTTCATGTTCAGATCCAGAGAAAGATCCTTTTTAGTTTAAGTGGGATATGGCATTATTCTGACTACCAAGATTTATTTTCTAAGTGTTATTACCAGCTCAGGAGTAAATATGCCATCCAAGATCAAAATATGATTTTGTGGATGGGCTTCGCAAAGACAGTTTCTGTCCAAACCTTACAAAAGGACATATGCCCCAGCCTAGGACAGGGTGACCTTGAGGGGAAATGGAATCTTTTCCTAATTGGCTCTTCTCAAGGGGTCCTTCTCTTTACTATTCAGCTGTCTAGGTGGTGTTTTTCTAATCCATCCAAAGCTGACTAAAGCTGGACCTCTGCTTAAAGTTAGTCATCTGAGTGAATCCCTAATCGAGACTCCAGAGAAGAGGGCAAGCTTCTCACTCCTTCTCACAGGGTAAGATCCAACAAAACACGATATCCTGGGTGTTCTTGGTGGCTACCTCCGCCACAGCAGGAACCAGCCTCAAGTCAAACCCAAGTAAGGGGAGCACAGGGGAGGTGCGGAACTCAAGAATCCCTCCTACACTTGACTTTTTCCATGATAAGTCATATGTGCCATAGACAGACAATAACAAAAGATGGAGCCTTCATTGTTCACATGAGGTTGAAGTGGGCTCCCATTACTAGTAGGTAAAATATCTTAGAGATGAGAAGAGAAAGTAAGGGAGAGTGAGAGAGAGAAAGGTATTTTTTCTGATTCTAAAACCATTGGTCATTCATTTAGGAAAAACAGAAAAAATATAAAAGCATAAAAACATAATAATCCCACCACCCAGGGAGGACAGTTCCAAATTTTTTATTATGAATTTCTAATCTTTTCCTGTTTGTAACTATACATACTTTCAAAACTCAGGGCAATGACACACAAAATATTTTATATTTGTTTAATCACTGATGATATGGAATGAACCCAAGAGAAATTATTCTTCTAATTTGATTTTTAATGTCTGCAGATTAGTTCATTTTATGGCTGTGTTTTATAGCCCTTAGTTTGGGATAATTGGGTTGTTTAAATTTTTCCCAAAGTACTCATGTAATAAATCATGCTAGAATAATAATATTGTACATATATTTTACACAAATTTTATTATCTTCTTGGCATACATTTTTACAAGTGGAGTTTTGGTCAAAAGGTCTAAACATATAAATAACTTTTGATACGTATTTCATGTGTTTAAAATAAGACATGACTAAATGCTTAAAATAGTAACGGCCTCATAACCAATTCATGCAAACACTCACAGCAGTTTTTTTCATCCAAGTCATCTGGGCAGTCTGGGACTCCATCACAGATGAGTGTATGCTTCAGGCACTGTTTATTAGATGGACATTCCCAAAGATCTCTCTCTTTGCAGCCTGGAGACAGAAGAAAAGGTTATTTACAATAGATGTGGACATGAAAATTAGGATAAGTTAGATCAAGCAATGTAGGAAAATTACAACATAAAGGAATGATTTATTTTTTCTTCAAGAGATTTGACTCATGCATCCCATAAAATATAATTTTCAAAGTAGAAATACTCAGTTATCTCCATACTGCAATATAAATAGGACAGCTATCCTAAGAGAAGATTAAAAAGTGGCATGAGAGCAATGCAGGCTTTGGGGGGATGAAACAGCATTGAGGTTTGGCGGTTCCTTTGGCTTTCTGAGCCAATTGCTAACACATACAACTCATCTATAAAATGATAAGTTACACTTTAAGCAAATATGTCAAAACCTGGAAATGTAAATGCTTATCATCTTAAAATGTATTACCAGTCAGCAAATGGAAAAGCCATTTGTGTGTTTACCAAGAGGCCCCTCCTATGCCAAAAACCTACAAAATTAGCCTACGAGCCACATATAAAAGCTATTTCTTTTGTAACGTAGTCAGAGAGCTAAAGATACAAACTTTAATATGAAAAATGTAGATAGTTTGCAAAGTAGCACAAACTGTAATTTGCCTACAAAACAGCAAGTACTTTCAATGAACTTAGTAAGAGCCGTTTGAATCAAGCACAGGCCACTTCAACTCTGCTAAACATGCCCAGAGTCTAATGAGTTCCCGCCACTCCAGATGGGTCTACAGTCTGTATCAGCCAATGAGAAGAGTGAAGGAAGAGACCACCTGTGGTCAGTTTTTAATGTCTCTTCCTGGCCTACAGAAGCATCTACCACTAGGCATGTGTGTATTTAAATGGAAGTTCGTTTCATGTAAGGAAGAAAAAGTCCCTAAGTCCCAGGAATAGATAATTTAGTTTAAGGTGAGTGGAATGCAAAGCAGTTCTGTTTCAAATGCTACTTCTCCTCTGACCTAGTACAAATAATTCAGAGAAATTTTGTTGATTAGCTCAGGTTCTTATAAAACACTATAAGAAAAATATCAGCTTTTTTCAAAATTCTCACTGAAAACAGTTATCAAAAGAAATCACCAAGAGAGAACTTTTTATTACACCTACCTAAGTTGGATTTAGGGTAGTCCACTATTCAAAATGTAGTAAATAGTGAGAGTCCTTCACTAGCTGATGTCTGCAGTGGCCGAGGGCCCAAGCACAGTATTCTAGGAATTCATGCACATATGATTTGGAGTTTTCAGCTAACGGAGGACATGAACATCATGTGGGATTTTCTGGCAATAACAGTTCCTGGAACCTCTGGAGCTATGAGAAGGTGCTAGAAGTCTGCCCTCCACTGTTCAGCCCCTGCCAAATCGTACCATCTGCTCATTTGACCACAAAGAATGGAAATCAAGAAATTGGTCTCCTCCCCGCTCTGAGTCACTTCTCATGTCACCAACCACACCACTTGCTCACAGATGATGAGTGACAACAGCGTGAGTGTTCCTGGCTGCATGTGACCCTTCCCAGGAGTGTGGAGAACTTGGGCATGTGCAGTGATCAAATTAAAGGCCAAAAAAGCAGTTCTGGGACATAAGGCCTGCATCCTCCCTAACAGCAATCACGGTAACAATGGTAGCATCATCCATGTATAGTGACATTCAAGATATTAGGTTCTATACTTATACTTAGTTTCTACACAATGCCAGTATTATGACCCCCATTTTATAAGTGAGAAACAGATATTTAAAGACAAAAGTTATTTCAGGGCCCTCCCTGGTGGCACAGCGGATTAAAGCACTGCACTCAGAAGCTTAAGCCACTTCTGCATGAGTTCGATCCCTGCCTGCCCCGGAGGAGATCCACATGGCGAGGAAGTCCTCTCCTGACCTGCCCACTGCTCCCCTCAGCAGTATACTTCCTCGACCTGCCTGTTCTGCTCCCCACTCTGTCCCTGGTGAATCCTCTCACCCTCCACATCTCTGGCCTGTACCCCAGTTCTGTATGAATAAATAAATCTTTTAAAAAAAAAAGTTATTTCAAAGCACAGTCTGACAGAGACTGATCTAGTTGGGCTCCAGTGGCAAATCCTCTCACAGACTACTGGGACTTGAGCCTGCGCAGTCTGCATGAGGCACAGCTTCAAGTCAGACACCTGGGTTGAATCACAGCTTCAATCTCATTCGCTGTGTGACCTTGGCTAAGTTACATAACTTCTCTGAACCTCAATTTCCATATCTGCAAAATAGTAACAGTAATGCCTGCTACCTGGACTTGCTTTAAAGATTAAATGAGAACCCAGGAAATATTACTCAGAAAAGAGGCCAGAAGAGGAAGGGCAGTGAGGATGGGAACAAAGCTGGGAGGAAGTTAATGGCCTTTGTTAAGGAACTGTGGGTGCTTTGGGGGGTGGGTATAGTGTGGAGACATGCATCTGAGAAGTGAACATATTCCCCTGACTCATTTACAGTGTTGAAAACCAATTGTTACCTCAGTTAAAAAATTAAAGACTTATGAGCATACTGCAAGCTTTATTTATTCTTCTGTATCTTCTATTTCCTAACAGAAGTTTGCATGGTCTGATACCTCCTTTGTGGAATTACAGTGAGCATAAAAAAGGGATGAAAAGGTTAAGATATTAGTCTTATGAAGACAGAATTATCATTTTGTAAAGAAATCACGCTTTCTTTAAAGGGACATTTTGGGGGTTATTCTGTTTAAATGCACACACTAAAAGGAAAAGGGAATGAGTCCATAAACATTAAAAACAGGTATCGTGGAATGGGACATTTAAAGCAGCTATAGGTTATGAAACCAAATAATCAGTGGTGTCAGAACAGCCACCCAGCACAGCGATAAAAACAATGCCTACTCACTGAAACCACAGTGTTGCTAATGGGACCAATTTATCCCAGTTTCCCCAGAATTTTCCAGATCTGACCACTAAAAGCCCCTGGTTGAAAGAAAGCCCTTCAGTCTCAAGCATACTAGCTGCCTCGAGGACTGGGTTGGCTTGGGGGAAGGTAGCGCCCCTCTTTCCTGCCATGCTTTCTGGTAAAAGGAGTTGGAGGTGCCATTGGGCACCCTTAAATGCGGGAAACAGTCTCTGGGTTCTTCAATTACTCTAGTCTCATTTTCCAAAACCCCTGTAAAGAGGTTTTCCTGTTTGTAGCACCAGCGGGGCACAGAGCAGATTTTCTATGATCAGGGCAGATGGGTAAAGGAGAGTCCTAAAGCCCTCAGTGGCTTTTTCAGGCTTTTAATGATTTTTCTACATGACTTGTAGTGAGGCACAGGGCAGACAGGGAGGCCTGAGGGTCAGGAGGCTGACTGGCCTCCTAGCCCCAGGAGAATCTTTACTTTTTCTGGGCTCTCAGGCTTTCTCTGATGGTCTCATCCCTGATCTCTACTGCTCTCTGCAGCATGGCCCTCTGCCACCTAGCATCCTCTACTGCCACACTTGTCTCTGCTCTGTTCTTTTCTGCACTGCCACCACCCTTATGAATGCTCTGGGCTCAGCTGTGCCCTCTCATACACGCCCACACCAAACTCCAGGAGCCACCACCAGGCTCATGTGTAAGACCACAGGTGTCCATCATGATACTAATGGTGGGAGGGCAGTAGAAACCTGATCACTTCCATTTACCTTACATTGTTAGTCAGGTTTCCCAACCTGGGGCACCTCAGTTCTTAGATGTTATCATTACAGGTAAAGACAGCAAAACTCTGTAAGCAGGTCCTACTTGTACTTACTGTAAGAATATCTTGATTAAGCAAATATAGAGTAAGCTCATTACTAATTTGAGCTGCATGAAATAATATATATCTTCAGGAAGGAATTGGTCACAACAGGAAAGTGGCCAATAAATTCTGGATCCTGGAGCTGGCAGAGGTTGGGATGGTTTGGACCAGTGTCTGCCCAAAAAAAGTGACAGGTCACAGGAGCTTCAGGGTGAAGTTCAGGTCCAGCAGGTGTGACTGTCCTTTCAAGTACTGACCCAGGTAATGGAGCCCCCATCTCAAAGAATAGTCATGGAGGGTCTGTCCTAGCACAAGTCTGGATTCTCCTCTTTGACTAGAAAGTCTCAGCAGTCTTCTGATGCCGAGTTCCTCCCTCCCTTTTTTAATTATTTATTTTTTGTGTGCATACAGAACTGGGATACAGGCCAGAGAGGTGCAGGAATGGTAAGAGGAGTCACCAGAGACAGAGTGGGGAGCAGAACAGGTTGACTGATGAAGTACACTGATGAGGGGAGCAGTGGGTGGGTCAGGAGAGGTCTGCCATGCCATGTGGATCACCTCCGGGGTAGGGATCATGCGGAAGTGGCTTTATTACAGTGCTTTAATCTGCTGAGCCACCAGGGAGGGCCTTGAATCTCCCCTTTTGAGCGGAATCCTTCTCATGTTATATTCTTCAATATGTTCTGGTTTAGTATCCTGCAAAAGCACAGGATGCAGAAATAGAAAAGGCTCTAATCTGCAAGCAGATTAGATGTAATCCTGGAAGTAGGGGCATCTACAAGCTTTGGACCTGACACGAAAAGCCTGTTCCTTTCAGTTATAGACACTGATCTGGCACAGACAAGGTCCCTTCCCTCAGGGGAGACCCTTAGGATCTCCTTTGAAGGGATCGCTCCCTAGATTTCCTAGCACTAGGTTATTGATGACTGCTCATGAGGACTGAATAAGTATTCCAAGAAGTTAAGTGGCCAAAAGTCACACAACATCCAGGTGTTTATCAGGATTTAAGTTCAAATACAGGTCTACACAGAGACCATGTAAGATAAAAGTTAACCAAGCAGCAAAATGTCTAAAGGAAAGGAGAACATCTCCCGCTTAACATGGAAAAATTACACCCTACTGAGTGATCAGAAACTGACCCTGAACTCTCATCTTAAAAGCCCATCTATGGACACAAGGACTCTGTTGGTCACAGAGCAAGGGTTCAGTCTCTTCCATAAGGCAAGGCAGGAAGATTGCTATTTGGAGTGTTAAGAGAGCCATTTCTTCTCTGCAAGAAGTTATACAAAATCTATTCAAGAGTCCAAACAGTTAGAAAAATATCTTTTAGGACACTTTTGAAATCAAGTTGAAGGCCCACAAAAATCTCCAAGACTTTGAACATAGACTGAAAAGGTTTGGCCCTTAAGGAAAGGTTCAGGTATTTTTACATTTTTTATTTTAGTTAAGGTCAAGAAAAGATCAAAGCTAAATGATGAAATAATTTTTAACCATTTGATCATAAATAAGACATTAATAAGACATTAATAACACAAGGGTATCTATACTGGTGTTCATCTTTCTCCTTAGTGTACATGCTTTTATATCAGAATGGCAATCAATCAGTAATTGCAAGGTGGTATTCATGTAATAGAGGTTTTTACTTTTGTGGTAGCTATAAAGAAACTGTTTTAGCTATATTCTAATTTAGCTGCCCTAGTGGAAAGGCTTTCTGCTCACATCACAGCCCAGAAATCCTCTTGTTCTTTCTGGAGCCACTCCTATTGTAGACATACATCTAGAAAAGCTAACCCTTGTCAACTCTACAGTGGGAAGGCTATTGCCAGTTTCCTTCATTTTCCTTTTTTAAAATTGTCCTTGCTTCTTTCTTTGTATTGATTGCTTATCCTCCATTGCTTAGCAACCTGTGCTTGGAAAAGGTTGGCTTGAATATAAGCTCATTTCATCAAGTTATTAATTTGACAGCTAGCTCCATCTCTATAGCATATACTCAATGAATGACAAAGCCCCTCCCTTTCAGACAATGCAGTGCTTCTTGTTGACCCTGTAAATCATGCCCATCACTTAGGCTTCCCTTCCCATGAAGCAATTCTGGAATGATATTTTCAGATTTGCATATTTATTCCAAATACTTGCTAAAAACATTTCAAATACTGACAATATGTTCACTTGTTGTCTGCATTAATAATAAGCAATCAAAACAACTTCAAAATTTTGAATAAATTCAATAAATAAGTTTGCCCCCAGAGCAACACCTCAGGAAAACACTGCTTGTCATTAAAGTCTACATAGATTTTTTTAAAATGTGTTTGCAAATGATGGGCCTTGGCTCCCCTGCTTCCTGCTGCAGATGTACCAAAGTAACCCCAAGTAAATAATAAACACATTAATTATTTCATAACTAAATTAAATAAGTGTTGTTTTGAGGGGAAAGCCAAATACTGTTGTTAGAAGTTCTGGAGGAGCAACAGATTAGCAGAGTGAATAATTAATTGCCACATTATTCAGTAAAGCTCAAGCATTTAAGTGCCTTCAGCTCTACAATAGAATAAATCAGAAAAACAAGAAGTATGTTGTGGAACCCAGCTTTGCTGGAGCTTGGGTTGCATCACTAAATAATATGCCCATAGGTGCCCATGGAAACCCAGACAAATTGAGGAAGTAGGCAAAGTGGGAACTGGATGGTTCCCTGAAGACCTCCATTGAGCCTTCCTAATTTGATTTTAAGTGCATGTCCTCCAACGCCATTCCCATTCAAATATGTGTATATTCCTAAAGGGGGAGTGTATGTAAACTGACTACTATCAGTCATTTTGGAAAACTTAATGACTTAATAACTTAATACCATTGGCTAATTCATGTAACTCCAAATGTGTTAATTGCTTACTCACTTTTAACTCTCCTTAGCTAGAGCTCTCAATGATGCTATCATATCTTCAGAGTTTGACAGGGATTAGAAAATTTATTCAATTGTTCAAATATGGCATGAATTGTGTGATGACACTCATCACTTACCTAGAAATCTGATATTTTAAGGTCATATAAACCCCACAGTGCTTTGGATTTCCTCTATTTTTTTGCAGAATATATTCAGGCACTTAATCTTGGTAATGCTCTTTGTAAACCAAGCGCTTATATTTTGGAAATATTTAACCCCCTTTTACAAATTTAGGACTAACTGCTCTAACAGAGTATCATATAACGTCTTTGAATCATCTGAGATCATCTGTTTTAATTATACCTCAAATTACTATCACCCATCAAAGACATGGTTTAGTAAAAAAAAAAAATCTAATAAATTCTCAATAAATCATTTATATAAAAGTTATTTAATGAGTTTTGATTTATTTCTTCATGTAGAGACAAACAAGCATACAACACTAGCTTCTCAAAACACTCTGTGTTCAAAATTTTGTTTCTGGTAACAAAATTACCCCTGGTCATTCTGACAGCTCAAATTTTCCAGAAGACACACTTGTCCATATTTATATCAGCTGATAGGATTTCAGATGATTGCTTGTGACATTTTGTCTAGACTAGAAGGGCAATATCTACTATGGAAAATTCATTTTGGGGAGCAAAGCAATATTTCATATCTCAAAGGTCAAATGAATACAATGATTTCAAAAGATATATTGCCTTACGTGTTTTCAATGGCAAAGTATCAATTTTTTTAAAGCAGAAGAAATTAAATAATCATAACCAAACTCTTCTTTAGATAGCCCTTCAATCATTTTGCTTTAGTCTAAAATAATATTTAGTAAAGCATATTACTTATCCTCTTTTCCCTGACACATTCTGAGGTTATAAGTACAAAGGGAAATAAAATGGGGACTAGCTTCATTTAAATTACCATTGGCATAGCTGGCCTTTCCATGGGTGATTTTGGAGTTCAAAGACAGAAACATCAGGAAAGGTTTTATCCTTTGCCAACAGAGACAAAATCAGAGAGGGCATGAAAATGAATCCCAATTAAATTTGAATGTTGAAGATTGAATGCTGTCTTTGTATATCGAGATGTCTATTTAACAAAATCATGTGCAAACACACTATTATTCTGACTGTGAAACAGATGTCAACTTTCTTATAGCCTCTGATAATAAAAGTTCCCTTATATTCACAAAGTGCTTCTTTAACAAAGGGATAATTTAGGGAAAATCCATAGAATTAACAGGAAAATCATATAATGAATCATGCCTGATTGTTTGATAATTTAAGAAGTCAATTCATATTCAATCCTAGTCATGAGTTATTACATGCATTCAATGAAAGCCCCATACCACAGTTGTCTTCGTCACTGTCATCGTCACAATCAGCCTGGCCATCACATCTTCTGGAAGCCAAAATGCACCGCCCTGAGCCACACTTGAAGTGACTAGGTGAGCATTCTGTTAAAAACAATGAGCTATTTAGTGCAGGGTATTGGAAACCAATACTACCTCAACAAAATAAAAAGAAAAAACCATGGGCCATGTTATTGTCATTACACAGAAAACCCAGAACTACCAACTAATTTATCTACATGTGGGCTGTTGTTGAGCTGTTACTAAAGATAAGGTAGGTTCTCTGCAAAGCTGAAACAGCCAAAGTTAACTGGGGACTCTTCTGCCTGCTTCTGGGCATTCTCTTGGCATCAGCTCTCCATCATCAGCTGTTTAGTGTCTTTGTTGTCCAGCAACCACCTATCTTTCAAAGTGGGCAACCTACTGGACAATTGCCAGAACTGGAATGTCCTGTGGCTCTGAACTAGCCCACTGTCTTGAACTTCTCAGAATTGTTTCCCATACAAATCTTCCAGTTGGTGGGCAAGTCCAGGATTCTATTTCTCGACCTGATGATTCCATGTTGCAAGAGCTCCAAATGCTTTGTACTTGAAGGAATTAAGGTTTGATGTTCAGTTCATCATAACCTTCAGGACAATATAATGGACTCTGTGAGTTAAGTGTGATTAAAATAAACTCCTGGAATTTAAATTTTACCTCTGCAATCTATTTCTAAAAGGAAGGCAATGGTACTAACAAATGAGTACCAGTTTGTTCGATTTCATCAAGTACACAGACTGACTCACCTAGGAAGCCTGACTGGTCATGAAAGAGAAAAAACAACAAAGAAACCTGTAAAGGTAGTTGACACAGTGAGCCATGTTAGACACCTCCCTGTAATTAATTTAAAAATTAACCTTCCACATCTTCATTAGGCATTAGGCAGGTTTGATTATCGGAGTTTTCTTCTGGAAATTGATTACAATTTGTGTCTTCAGGCCACTGTAGACCTACGAGCCCAAGAACAGACTCACAGTGCTCTTTGGAGTGTTCACACAGCACTCTAAAGGAGCAAGAAAGAGAAAGAGAAAACATTAGTTGCATAATAGCAACCTCTAATTCCTACATCAGGAATGTAGGGAAGGTTTGAATGCTGTATGGACATGAGTCTGTGTGTGTTACCAGCATAAACAGGTACACATGTATTGATGTGCTGGGTAGCCAACAGAAGGTCTTTACAGAGGGAGTACATTTCAGTAACACTCACCAAAAGGAACTTCAGTGCATTGTTTTTATTGGTTTTTTGGCCTCATAACACTATGTGCATTTAAGTGTAAAACATGGAGATTTGATACACTTACAGATCACAATGTGATTAGCACTGACACACCTGTCATGCCATTATCATTTCTTTTTTGCTCTTGGAATAATTAAGATCTAGACTCTTGAGAAAGCTGGATGATTATCATTTGACAGTGTTGCCCATGTTCGCTCTACTATTCATTTAGGTTTCTAGGGCCTACTTGTCCACTAAGTACAAGTTTGTACCCTTAAACAATATCTGGGAGACAGATTTCCTTCCTGCAGTTTGCCTTTCTCATTCTTCTGTCTCTCTAACCAATACATTCTCCAATGATTTTTTTCAAATAGGGAGGTCCACAACATGATTTTGGGGACTGCCATCAGGGTCAGAAAATCTAAACAACCTTCTCGACCTCAGAAGGCTCTCCCTCCTGTGAACAGTCATGTGAGCCTGTTAGACACTTTACCTAAGAGACTGCCAACCTGGCTTATCTAAAGAATTATCTCCACAAATTTGTTAGCTTCCACCAACGTTGAAATACTTGGGTCTTCTTTCGAACCCTTAAGTTCGAAAGAATTGTGTTTAAGTTGATTAGTAAGTTTTTCTTTAAAGAAAAGATAAACTAAGCAGGGCACATTCATCTATACTATCTCATTTGTCTCTAGAATATTTTTCTGTTGAGGTATCAATGTCACAGATTTCCTTACTTTCTATGGAAAAATAATTCATGGGTTTTTCTTCAGTATATTATCAAGAAATAACTACATCATTTTTTAAAAAAGTAAACCTAACCAAAGTAAGATCCTAGGATAATTTATTTCCTTTTAAATACTTTATTTTAAAAGTTTCAGATGTTAAACTAGAAGTTAATTTGAGCAGAGTTCTCTCTCTCTCTCTCTTTCTCTGTGTGTGTATGTGTGTCTTTGACTCACTATAGAATTGGACAGGACTTCCAGAAAAATTTTCTCCAGTCCAGCCAGAAACTCATAGAGAAAGTTTAGCAATCAAATAGGGAAAGTTAAACTCTGTTTATTAAAGTCCAGACAAGGAAGTGAATAATCTGATGCTGGTTTAGTCTAGGAATCTGGGATAAAGACAAAGCTATGACATTCCCATACTAGTTTTGCAAAAATGGAAATTCAATATTTTTCAATAACTTCCTGTTGGACTAAATAATTTTGTCGACAATTTATTTTTAAAAGTATATAGTTTGCTACTATTGCTTTTTAACATTAACCAGACAAACACAATTTATATGGAAGACTATCTAATACCTAACCCTATTTTTTCTATAACATGGAAAAAATACAATATATGAGACTACTGCTGCCCAGCCACTGTCTTCACCATGATCTGCGTGGTTCACAATCACAAACAGTAACCCTGACAGCCATGACCTTCCCAAAAAGGTCATTTAGAAGTTGATAGAGTACTTAGGTCTGGATAATGTTAGATTTTTCAGACCCAAACTTAAAAAATAAACTTTAAGATCAATAAACAGACTTGGCAAAAGCAACTATATATTGTTTTACATGTTAAATTATTCTTGTCATAATGTAATTTTTTCTTTATAAGCAAATGTGAAGATGTAAATTTCATGTTGATCACCACTGTAAAGGGAAGATATGTGTAAACTTAATAGAACTCCAAAATGTTAACTGAATGACACTTCAGAAACAATCTTATTCTTCAATTTGAAAACATGAAACTTAAGCCCTGAAATTATACATTATATATGGGTATAAATTTGTTCCACAGATTACTACATTAGGGAAACCTGAAAGAAAACAAATATGCAAATGTGAAAAGAAAGTCAAAAACAAATTTTGTTAAGTACTATTGAAAGTAATATCATTCACCCTGCTTAGTGAAAATGGAATAAGATTTAAGAATAAATTCTTAACATAAAGTTGGTAGATTCCTTTTGCAATACTTTAAAAGGCATTTAACAGAAATTTTCAGAATTTGCCAAACCAACATTAAGCTTTACTCTGTATAATTTGCTTGGCTCCCTAAGTGACTTTACAATTTTATTACTTCCTGTTCCAACTCTATAGATTCCTCTGCTTTATCATCCCCTTGAAATTTGGTGTGTAATTTATCGTTTTCCTATCTGTCCACTATGTTGATATTATTGCTTTTCCTCTGAATGAATGTTGTTCCCAACATATGGAAACCACTCACACGTAGACAAGCTCATCTGTATATCCACCTCTTGATGGGAAACAGTCTTGAAGATGACAAGACATCCCCTACCTCCTGGTAGTCAGTTATTCTCTGACTATAGCTCCATACACGTGACACAGAAGATGGGCAAACTGCCACTAAACCATTGTTGATTCAGGTCTTCTCGTCAATTTGAAGCATTTTACATTTTTTCAAATTTATTTTATCGCATAATAAACCAAACCCACTATCATTCTAATTCCTGATTTTACAGGTAAAGAACTTTGTCTAAGAGACACTGAAGAATCTGTGTCAGGCTGCCCAGTACCTACAGAAATCAGATGGTACATTCCAGAGTGGTTCTCTTAACCCGGAGAGCATCTGTCTTATCATTAAGTCAAGCTGCACTCTTGAAGTGCTAGCCTATGTTTCACAGAAAGGGACTCATAGTGCCTTGCATAACCTGGGGAGATGGTCTTATGTTTCCTTCCCATCACACCTTTGTGATGTCTCTAACTTTTGAGTACTATTAGAAGGGAGCACTTTAATGCATCAGTGTTGCCACAGAAAGATAAAGGCGCACCTCTTCTTTTGGTAATTCACATTTTTCATGCTTCTTGATCCACCCAAATGAAATATGTGATGTTCTTGGATTAAAATACATGCATTATTATCAAAGTTCGTTTATACCTCTCTTGTTTGGTGTTGATTCAGTAATGAATAACTTACTGAAAGATTTATTTCATAACTCCTATGTCTTGACTGTTTAAATGTGTGATCTGTTCAATACATTGACCCTTAGCAATGAGTTTTGTCTGAACTCAAAAGATGTCTTTATTCCCTTGGTTCTCCCTCAGTGAAATGAGGGTGTTTGAAGGACTCATCTTACCTGCAAGGTGGGATGCGTTGGCTTGTATTCACATCACACTTTGGGACCAGTATGGTACAAGCAAAAAACATGAGGTATTTGTAACAGTTGGTTTGAACAAGTGCAGGGAAAAGAGAAAACTCCCAACTGATAGATGCTTCCTTTTGACTCCTGTGGCCAAGGTAATTGGGATAATTTGTATAGTTGTAAGGTAAATTCATACAGAGTTCCAGCGTAATCGGTTCACACTGACCTAAAGAGCAAATACACACATAGATGCATATATATATATAAATTTAGCATGTAAAACAATATCTCGAAAACTTACAAAATAAAAGTCTATTGGATTCTCTTTCTTTAAAGTGCAAAGATCAGAATGCAAGTAGTATATTGTTATCAAGAGATTAGTAATCTGATTAAGGAAGTGCTGAATCAAGTTTCAGTTTTGTATACATAGCTGCTAAGACAGTGCCCAGCGCATGTTTTAGATGATTGTTTCTTGTTTTTTCCTTAACTCAACTTATCTGAAAGCAATTCTCACTTATGATTCCTTTTATTCATTCTACATCATCTGTTCTTCTTGGTTTATTCATTACTTCAAAGCTGGTATAGTCCCAATTGTCTTCACAGTCATTTAAAAAGTATCAATGAATTTGGCTAAGTAGGGAACTAGGTGACTTTTTTCTACAGGTTTTATTGTTGATCAATGCATTAAAATAAAATGTTAGAATTATTCAAAACAGGGAGAAGTTGTAACCTATTAGATAGTCATGATCCATGGTCAATGAGACAAAATCTAACCCTTTTAGTTTGACAATCAAAGCTGTTTCACACTACAGCAATAACCCACCTTTCTAGCTCCATCATTTAGGACGATCCATATCAGTAGTACTTCTTTGACTACAGCAGATATTTTAAGAATTGCATGTTTTCATGGTCTGTTAGCATCTCTAACTCCCTGACATACTTGTAATCACCCCATCAAATGCAGTCATAGTACCTGCTACTTGAGAAAAATCCTTTCCCATCTTCCCCACCAGCTAAATCTGACCTGACTTGCAGGATTCAGCACAAACACCTATTCCAGAAGGCATCCCTGACAAGCAATCCCCCCACCTAACTCCCAGTATGAGTCTCTACTGGGCAGTATCACACATTAAGCACACTCATTGCCCATGCTGGAGTCTTATTTACTTCCCTCCACACATACAACTCTGAGATTTCTCAGAAATGAGACTTTATTTCTTATTCTCAAAATCAGCTTCTAGTACAAGGTCAGAATGAAGGAAGGAAGGGAGGGGAGTAGTAGAGAAGCATCAAGAATGATGTCAAACACTTAAAATACAAAAATAATGAAACTATCATCTGCCATTGAGGAATTCCACAATGTACACAAGGAGAAAGACACACGTGCTGGTAGCGGTAATATAATGAACAGGCTAGGACGGGTATTGAACAATTGCTGAGAGCCCAGAGGGACCAGATTAGCAAGAATGTTGTAGGAGACTTTCTTAAAATCAACGGGGTTTGGGAGAAAGGCTCCACTCTATCCTGGCACACATGTTCTATTCACAGAGATGAGTGGTAATCAAGTGAGTGTCTTGGTAGAATTAGTCCTGACTGACCAAAAACTCCATGCCTTATTAAGCATAATTATGCAAGTTAAATTTAATTATTTCAATAAGAAATGCAATGCATGCAAATAGATTAGTAATAAATGCTGGGGTTAAATATTAAAACAGCCAGGGCCACTTCTCAATTTAAAGAACCTGCAGCTTTGCAAATTGTGTTGTTAAGGAGCCTGACATTGACCAAATGAAAAGTCTTACAGCGAAAGCATGACATTGTCTCATTTTACTGGGGAAGGAATAATACTGAATGGTTGGCAAAATCTTCAGGATGAATACGGGCTAGAAAGAGGAGGAAGGGTAAGGGATTGTTTAGTTAATTATTTCATTTGTGAAAAAAGGAGAAGCCTTTAAACATTTTGACTTCAGATTATAAAAAAATGCATGGTCCTCTAAACAATAAATACAAAGATGTCTAAAAGAAAGTTCATGCTCTCCTCCCTTTTCTCACTATTTGTCAAAGCCAACAGAAAGGTGTAACACCTTCCACTTGCTCAGATGACACATGCAAACATTTGCATACACATAGTAGAGATGCCCAGCAGAAGTGCATTGTTCTGATGACTCTTCAGCTTGCCTTGTGTTGCTTATTTCTTACTAAAACCATCTGACAATCAGTGGATGCAGTTATGAATCTAAATTTTCTAATATATTTAAGGTATGTATAACTTTACAAAAGGGGGCTCATTCAAAGTTTTAATTCAGTCTTACTCTTCTCTTTCCTCTACCACCTTATTGTTTTAATTTTCTTAGTGGTGTATTTCATGTCAATAATTAACAGACTTAATATAGGTCATTTTTCACTCTTGATGTGTGGAAAACACATTTTGATTTGGAATGAGATATAACTTTGAAGTGTTTTAAGTCTTAGGAGATGAAAGGATTAAGTTATGGTCATATATGACACTGGAGATCTTTATTGAATGTAGTAAGGATGATTGAATCTTGTGTTCTTTTTCTTTATAAGTCATTCTTATGCTAACTAAGATAAACTCTCAAGATATCTGTCAACCCATCTATGATGTATGGTATCAATAAGGTTTTTTTTATTTTAAGCATTTGGCTCACAAACGATCATGACTTTAAAAAACCACTAGAGGGCAATCACTTCACAAATATGTGAGGATATTTAAATGGCATTGGACTGGAACCAAGCAAGTTTAGCAGCATGCCTACTACAGTGTTCACAACACTGATGAGGTTTAATAAATAACCTTTGGGGGGAAATGATCCTAATGGAATCTCATGGCTATCCCCCCTTTCAAAGCCTGACAAATTTAGTTAACCTGAAAATGTAGATTATTCACTAAAAGGTGTTACATTTTTATCCTGAAGCAATACTCTTAAGTCATTGGAAACCATGTATCAAATGACCATTTACATGAGAAGATGTCATTTTTCAACAGCATTGAGGCATATAAAGTTCCAAGAATTATCATGGCCTCAATTCTCAATCTGTTTTTATAATGATTTTTAATAGTTTGATGAGTTTTCATCCTTATAACTACAAACCAGATCAAGAAAATGACCTTTGCCATACATTCCATGTACCCTGCCTTCTATTAATTTTCTCCTCCCACCCCAAGAAACCATTGAGCTTTGTCATCACTTTCTTTGTAGTTTTATTGTGTACCATACCACAGATAGTAGAGCTTAGGCTTGCCCATTTTTTATATATAAATTACATTATTCTGGCCCTCCCTGGTGGCGCAGCGGGTTAAAGCACAGCACTAAGAAGCTAAAGCCACTTCTGCATGAGTTTGATACCCGCCTGCCCCAGAGGAGATCCACATGGCAGGGCAGGTCTCTCCTGACCAGCCCGCTGCTCCCCTCAGCAGTGTGCTTCATGGATCTGCCTGTTCTGCACCCCACTGTCTCTGGTGAATCCTCTCTGCCCCCGCACCTCTGGCCTGTACCCCAGTTCTGTATGCACAAATAAATCTTTAAAATTACATTATTCTTCATTCTTCATTTTGTACATCTTTTCATCTTTGTTGTAATCCTCCTGGACTTCCCCACCACCAATTCACCCATATGCCTTCACCACAGTACCGTGCATTCTGCCCATCCCAGCTTTGATCCTATCCCCCTCTCCACCTCCATAGAATGTCTCTGGTTTACAATTGTTTGATTTTTAAGATTTTATTTATGCATACAGAACTGGGGTACAGGACAGCGGTGCAGGGGCAGTGAGAGGGCTCACCAGAGACAGAGTGGGGAGCAGAACAGGCTGACTGAGGAAGTACACTGCTGAGGGAAGCAGCAGCCAGGTCAGGAGAGATCTGCCACATCATGCGGATCACCTCAGGGGCAGGGATCGAACTCATGCTGAAGTGGCTTTTGCTTCTTAGTACTGTGCTTTAACCTGCTGTGCCACCAGGGAGGGCCCTGATTTTTGTTTTTACTTTATTACAATTACTTTTTCAGATCCCTTACACTCCTGCTATGTGTGAAACCATCTGGTAATTTTTCTTTCTGGCTTATTTCACTAACCACGATCCCTTCCTGCTCCACCCATGTTGCGACAAATGACGTGAGTTTATCTTTTTTGATTGCTGAGTAATATTCTACAGTGTATATGTACCACATCTTCTTGATCCAGTAATATATTTTGGGTTGATTCTACGTCTTTACTATTGTAAATAGTATAGCAATAAACATAGGGGTGCAGGTGTCCTTTTGAATTAATGTTTTTATGTCCTGTGAGTAAATACCTACGAGTACAATTGCTAGCTCATATGGAAGCTCCACTTTTAGCAATTGGAGAAACCTCCAAACAGCTTTTCATAGTGGTTGTACCAGTTTGCATTCCCAACAGCAGTATAGGAGAGTTCCTTTTTCTCCACATCCTCGCCAACATTTGTTGATGCTAGTTTTTTTTTAATGTGCCATTCTCCCTGGTGTGAAGTGGTAATTGTGGTTTTGATTTGCATTTCCCTTATTAAAAGTGATGTGAACATTTTTTTCATATGCCTGTTGGCCATCTGCCTAGTTTTGTCTTTTATGTCTCTTACAATATCCAGTTTCTTTCTCCATCCCTTTATTTTTCCTTGTGTTTTAACTACTGAAGAAACCAGGGATTTGACCTATGGAGTGTGCCAAAATTTAAATTTTGCTGATTGCACTCCCTGTGAGATTAAACATGTTCCTCCATCCTCCTTGTTTCCTGAACACTGGCAACTGAATCCAGAGGGCTGATTAGGTTTCATCCCCCTTGGAAAGATTATAGGTGCTGCAGTATTCTTTCACCAAAAGGCACATCCAGTCTTCTTTTTTTTTTTTCTGTCAGCAGCTGTAGATGCTCAATGCTTTAAGCCCTTAATTCATTATGTTACCTCTCAGTGATATTCTTATTCCACCATTGATTTTCACTTACTAGCTGGAATACTTCAATAAAGAGCTCTTTCCTATCATTTACTACTTACTCCCAAGGATTGCAGTCCTTATTAACCATTAGGGTGTTTAACCTCTTTACCAGACCACATTTGTTATTTGTTCCTTTGAAGTAGATTTTGCAAAGAAAGGAACAGGGCGTTGACAGAGTAATGGGAAAATATCCAAAATCAAAGATATTAATTTCCTTGGTGTTAGAGAGAAAAAATATATATGTAAATATATATGTAAATATGTAGAACTAAAGGTTGGTGGATCACTATGGAACCTGGAAGGGTCCTTGGGCATGGCAGTTTTAGCTAGTTTTATGGCATAGACTAGTGGGAAAAGACACATGCCCAGACACTGCTTTTTCCTTAGGTTCCCCCAACTGTCCACACTGTACACTAAGGTAGTAGTGAGGAAAGAACATTCCTGCTCCTACCCACTTAGACAAGATGTGTTTGTGTTTGCATTCCAGCATGGCACAAAAATGTTAAAGATTCTGGGCTATGAGTGGATTCAGTGATACAGTAATACTTCATACCTATAAGTACATAATAATGTCAAAGATGTGGTTTTTAAATTTTTTCCTAAATCCTAGGCATTTCTGGGATTAGAGATAAGCCACAAACCTTCTCTATTAAAAATTTTTTAAAACTATGAAGACTTTTTCATATCCAATTTTAGGGATGTCACATACCCTGCAGTCTAGTTACAAGCTACTAAAGCCATCATTTACAACTGTAGCTCTGCATAGGAATCATCTGAGGATTTTAAACCTACGCAGCACATCTTAGGACCACTAGAAAGCTATATGCTATGTTATGAACTGATAAGAACCATTGCCTTCAAGACTAGATGCACAGTGACTTCAGAGTAAGGCTTACTCTGCCAAACAGAATATACACTCACCACTGGCACAAAACCAGAGAAGGGAGTGTTCCATGGGTCTAAATAGCAGTAGTCTCTGATAATGGCAAAGATCTATAAAGGATCATACTTTCAAGGGCGTGAAGGACTTGGAGAGGAAATGCCACACTTGTTTATCTTCACAGAGAACCAAACAAACATATACACTTATCATTAAGGTTTCTTTTCTTTTTTAACTAAATAATAATGTCTTTACATTCATCTGGAAGTTGGGTGTATACTTTCAAACACAGAGGGGATACCAGCCTAGTATCTAGCAGTAAGAAGAGGGGATATTCAAATGTTTGCTGACTAACATGAAGGAACCTGGCAAGAACATCGATGGAGAAGTGAAAAGCTGATAAAACAGTAGGACACTAGGTAAAAGGAAGTGTTTGCAGAAAACTAGAGAGGTATGTAAGATTGAGAAGTAAGCAGTATGTTTTCCCATGCTGAAAAATTATCTCCACAATGTTTATAATTCTCTCTCTTCTTTGCCAATAAAGTGCCCAATGTCCATCACACTGAACATTGTATGCACTCTAAAAATATTGGTTGAATGTATGAACCAGAGTTATTTAGTGTTCTTCACACAACTTCTAATTTTGGCAGGTGATAAGCCATTTTTAAATGTTTAATTTTAAAGTAGTTTAAATAGAGAGAAATTAGGATGACATACTTCAAGTGCTTCCCACCCAACTAGACACAAACATTGACCTTTTGATATTTTTTGTTTAACAGTAAGAGCCATGACAGAAACCCCCCCCCCAAGCTTTAATTATACCCATGTCTTAGAGACAACACTGTTGCCACTGAAATTACTCATTCCAAGTTCAAATTACTCATTCCAAGTTCTGAAAAAGTCCCAGGACTGATTTGGTGATAAGTTGCATTAAACAATAAACCCTACAGCCTGCCAAATATCTAGACACATATACACATATATATTTACCACACACACCCACATAGATTTATACACATATACACATGCATGTATCTTTAAATAATTTGAGTCACTAATATCTATGACTACTAACTATATGAACTCTTCTCTTATACAGGAAACAGAAATCGAAGAGAGTATTGTGCTTTAAGCCAAATGGTTAATTAAATGCTTATGATTCTAAATGAACAGTTCCAGTCAACTAGCTTTTTAATTAGTTGCCTTCCTCACGCTCCTTCCAGGCCACTGTTTTCATACATTGAGTTTCCATAATAGTTATAGGGGTAACTACAATAAAGTCTACATTGATCCAAAAGGATCATAAGTAAAACTAGGACTAGTAGCCCCAAACTGCAGCAAATCCAAGACTAAACCTCCCAGCATTGAGCACCTTGCTTGAGAGTACATGTGTTAATAAGTCATACCCTCTTGCCAACTGAAATATGGTCATCTTCTAAGTTTCAAGCTTCAAGCTGAAGGTGAGGCTAAAAACAGGCTATAAAAAATGAAAGCAGTGAGTAGACTATGAAAGCAGAGTCCAGAAGTAAGAAATCATTGCTAGAAATCAGTCTCTGGGACTTCTTAAATTCATCTCAAATTTCCAGTGAGAATCTGTTCTATTCTCTGCTGCTTCTGTGCCTTCTGTCTTCCCTTACCATCTCCCCCTCCTGAAAGCCAGTTAGAGAGACACACTTGTTTCCACTATTTGGAGCTGTTACATTGTCAGTGGTACAATTAAAATAATGGTTCAAGATCATTATAGGTTAACAAAGTTCCTGGAAAGGTGAGTATAGATTTTGACAGACCTGGAAAGGTGAGTATAGATTTTAACAGACCGTGATAGTTCTACGTGGTTATTTAGAAGAATTTCATAACAATTTGCTTTTTGGATAGCTTCCACTTTTGAAGCTGTGCTTTAAAAAAGAAAAAGGATAGCATCTGCATGCAGCTAGAGCCAAAAAAATATTATATAGGAGCTGCTGTTCAGCTGAAAGTAATGGTAATGATATTAAGCAATGTAGATTTATAGTCCATCCACAATGACACATTTGTTTCTGATTTAAGTTAATTAAGACCATTTTGTTTCTTTTCTGCTACCACATGCAACTTTTAAAAAAGAAAGAAAATGGATGTGCACTTTTTGCCGGCATTCCAGACTTCAGCATTTTCATGTCAGTGCAAAAGAAAAAAGTTGAATGCATATCCTGTCACAGTGATTGCATTTATCAGCTGCCGTACTTACTACAGTTATTCCGACCATTGTTGGGCTCACAGGGAGAGCTACCACCACATGAGTCAAGGCAGGAATTGTAGAGGCATCTTTGGTCTCCTTGGCATAGAGTCTGACCTAAAGAGGGGGACAGGCACATTCACTTTTATCATCTCTAAATTCCTTACACTGGGATCTAAAGGATCAAGAACATCTGGGGGAGACAAGGGATGATACAACTTTAATTTCCTTCCAACTTCTCTATAAATATTGAACACATGTTGAATAGGTACTGTCTGGATTGACTTTCTTGGCAATTGAATAAATAGAACACAATTATTCCAAAAGGACTATGTAGGAATGAAGAAATAAAAGACAGCCTATTTTTTTAAAGGGGGTTGTAGTGGCTTTTAGTGAGAAAAAAAAAAGAGAGTTTTATATTTATATAGGTGCACATACTTGACTACAAAATAAAAAATCATTCGATTTGCAGGAAAAGCCAATCTAAAGATGCTAAATTTTGAATACAAAGGTATTACTTTAAGGAGTCATTTTCTCCCAGCTCTAGACTTCCCACTAAGGAAAATGCTTTCCCTAATAATCATTTCTCTAATACTAAATAACAATTTTCCCTAGTAAAAAAAATGGCATCAACAGCAATGCAAGATGGATGCTTTGTTACAAATTTTATGCAGCTGTTACCCATATTTTCTGTATATCCTTGGAAAATATCATTGGTCCATTGTAATCACCCAAGAGTTGGGTTTTTTGTTTCCAAATGAATGACAGCAGTAACATTAGTCTAATGACTTTTCCTTAAAGTATGTAGAGGAAACTGCTTTTCCCACTGATTTCTGGTCAACTGTAGATTAAATGGACCAAGTTTTAAATTACTGCCCATTCTCTTTCTAGCGTCCCCCATTACAGTCAATTTCAGATGCATCATCTGGAATCTAAAATCTTGCAAGACATGTTTAAGTATAAGCAATAGTATTATGTATATAAATCTTTCTTATCTATAGTTCTCACAATGTTTATTATGCTGAACTCCTTCTCCTGTTCAGTACTACTAATGTGCAACAAGGCTATGTACATCATAGCCTGTGGAAAAGAAATACCACTCTCTTTCTCTAGGAGAAACCAGGTAGGTAAACCAGGAGAATTTTCATGGCTTTCATCTCTTAAAGAAAGTTCATTAGGACAACATACATTTATTATTTCAGTTGCTATTAAGTATATATTATGCAATATATTGTTTGACAAGTTAGGAACTAAGTTTTTAAAACTAAAGAGCACAAGGGCTACTACTCTAATTCTAGAACCTACAGCTTCACCTTATTGAGTGTACATGTAAGGTGCAGTGGAAACAAACTCAGGCAGTAAGGGGCAATTCTGCAATAGTGTTTGTAAGCAGATGGGGTAAGCTGATGCAGGCACAATATGCAGAGGCCTGGAATAAAAAACTGTGCAGGCTGGAGTCACTGAGATGGAGGGTGAGGGGGATTAACCAGGAGGCTGGGGCAGAGACTGAGGGTTGTAAAGACCTGTCTTTTTTTTTTTTTTTTAAGAGTCAGTTATTTATGAATACAGAACTGGGGTACAGGCCAGAGGTGCAGGGGCGGTGAGAGGATTCACCAAAGACAGAGTAGGGAGCAGAACAGGCAGATAGAAAAAGTACACAACTGAGGGGAGCAATGGGCAGTGGGTGAGACAGGAAGGGTCTGCTGTGCCATGTGGGTCACCTCTGGGCTGGGATCCTCATACTGAAGAGGCTGCAGCTAGCTTGCAGTGCAACATCCTAACCCATTGTACCACCAGGGAGGGCACTAAGACTTGTCTTTTCAATAAGGCTGCAAATCCTGGAAGAAATAGACTCTACATATCTCCCATGTCTTGTGTAGGAGAACCAAGCAATGATCATTGTGGAGGGTGATTCTGTAGCACCACGCTCCCCTTCACACTCAACTCTCTAATCAAGATGCTCTCCCAGGATGCCCTAAGCATACCTCGCTCCCTCCCATCTCAGGACCTTTGGCCAAGTGGTTTCCTCTGTCCCAAATGCTTTCTCCAGACCCACTCTCTGTTGTTAACTACACTTATTCTTCAGATCGTACCTCCACTAACTCTTCTTTATGGAAGTCTCCCAAAAACCCTTGCCAGGGCATGCATCCCAGCACCCTAAAGCTTCCTGCATGACATACATCACCTCGTGGTCAGACATTGATATGATGTGTGTGTTGTCTATGTCATGCCTACCTCCCTGGGAGCCTACAGTAATCATGAGTTGTTCTGCTTGCTGACTGACCATGTATTAGCAACATCACATATGCTATCACATTGAACTCAGAGTATATAATATAAATATGTTAACCTTTTATTTTCAATCTATTTTATGCTATGACTTCTTTACATCTCATGAGTGAAAGGAAATTAATTTGAAAATCCTTCTGTTGTATAGTGAGGAATCCTCAATTATACCAGAGAGATGAGCTATGTAGAATCACAATTTGATCCAAAGGGAAGATGTACTAAATCATGCATAGAAAAGAATTTCCAAATTGTAAAACTAAGCTCAATCTCTCTCTCTCTCTCTCTCTCCAAACGCACATACAATTATATAATAGATTATCATATATATACATGATATATATTATATATGTATTATAAACCTGTGATTAAAATTTACTCCTTTTAAATCTGGAAAGTTTTTTCATTAAAACTAGCCTAGTGATCAATATTCATCATGAAAAAAAACAATTTATCTACAAATGCTCATTCTTATTAGCTGATGTTAGGTAGCTAGATCCAATACATCCTTAAAATAATGGCTACAGGTTAGTAACACTGAGAGCTCACCATGTGCCAGTGAAACAGTCACTATTATTTTGAGTTTAAGGGCACAGAAGCTAAGGCATCCTGAGGTTAAGTAAAAGGTCTCAGTCAAGCAGACAGTTGATAGCAAACTTTAGGGCTTGAACCCTAAATTTGGGCTGCAATCACATTCTTAAGTATGTATGTTGATAAACAGGAAGGTCATTTATGAATAAATACAGAGAATTTTAAATCTAGGAATGTTCTTCCAAGCCTGTACTGAGAGGTGCTCCAATACAAATCGGGGCTTAAAACAATCAGTATGGAACTTTCTTTTCTGACAGAAATAGTCACACTTTAAAAACCAATTTATTTGATTCATGTTTTGCTTTTCCATTTCACAGATGGCTATCAGAGTCCCTTTGTAGTGTGTTTAAGTATATTGCTTGGTAATATGAAGCATTAAGCTGCCTCTCTGAACATGGTTATTTTAGGAAGCTGTTACATTTAATTTCAGAAGCCAATTCCTTCTAATTGGAATCTAATCTAATTATCTAATTTAATTGAATATTATATGTTCAACTTTTTATATATCTTTCCCCATAAAACAGTTAAATGTATCTTCCCAGGTTATTTAAGTGTTTAGCTTCTACTGTTTTCTCTTAAGAATAGTTTTTCAGTATAAGTTGCTTGGGAATTATATTTTCCACAAGAAAGGATTTTCTGAGGACCATGGTGTTAGGTAGCTGATATTTTTATGTGGAAATCCCAAAGCACTAAGGAACTTCTACTTTTGGCTTTGTTCCCAAGGGAAGGCCTATCGATAAGAAATGTCCCAGGGGCACATGGCATTAACTTACTGTTACTGCAGTTCTCTTCATCACTTCCATCCTTACAGTCCTCAAGTCCGTCACACCAGAAGGTGCTGGGGACACACTGCCCATTTCTGCATTCCACCAGACCCTGGCTGAGACAGGCTAGGAGAGGCCAAGAACACGTTACTCGCTTGTACCATTTTCAGTGTGTTCATCACACACCTGATTGCTGTTTATCTGGTATTACTTAGAAATGAAGCATTCTGAATCTATAAATGTTCTGTGTAAATATGAACTTAGGAATTTTTTTTTTAATTTCACATCATTTTGGAATGGTAAACCTTTGTTTCAGAATGTCTCCTCCCTTATTAAATAATACTTACTCAAAATTATTTTGTTCTTGATAACAACATAGTGGAAAATAATATTAACGAAGGCCACAGTACTATTACTACTAAAAAAGGTACAATTTATTAAAGGCTTACTCTATGGCAATGACTGTGATAGGAATATTATATATATATTTCAAATCCTCCTCACAAATTTGCAAAGCAGACATGATCGACCTTATTTAAAATACAGAACCTGAAGCTTGGAGAATGTAATGACTGTCTCATTACACATGGTTGTTAACAATTTGGGCTAGAGATAAAGGCAAATTTTTAACTATTAATCTCAACACTGTATTCTCTGTCTATCTGACTAATAAACCAGTGAAATGACATAGGTGAAAGAAATGACATAGTCCCTCACACATAATAAGTTATTACAAAACTTGATTGTGAAACTTGGCATTTCAAAGGAGTGGTCTAATGATCATGAACCTTCTGACTGCTGAGGGTTGTGTAAAGACCATCAGAAACCCACGTTTGATGTGACTTTGGGCTTCACTGTCTCATATCAAGTCTCTGTTTTTGAATCAAGACTCAATACCAGGATCATCACACTTGATATCATGCTATTGCTTTCTCTGGACCTGTCGAGAGAGCCCACTCTGTTCCACCATGTCCGCTAAGCAAGGACTCCGACGAAATGCCAGTCAATCCAGGGAGGGGGAAGCAAGGCATTCATCACATCTGTTAATTAATTTATATGACATCAAAATAAAAATCATGTAGTCTACATTTCATTTTTGCCTCAAATAATCGGTTAAGTCTTCATTTTGTATACTTTTATTGGACAACAAATGTAGAAATTAAAATTTTTAATTAGTTCGAATGTGTATCAAATATATCACATTAACTTTCTAGTTACTATTACTCTTTCTAATCATTGTATTATTCCCTATCAAGTATAGTTTAGTTTCTTGTGGGGTGGATGACTAAATGACTAGGCAAACTGATTTTTAGTAAGTAGTGCAACAGCTACCTGAAGTCTGCTCAACCAGAAACACAACACGATGAAATAGAACTAGAAGCAAAATGCAGGTCCCAGCACTCACAGCAATTGGCCTCGTCAGACTTGTCCACACAGTCCTGGTCGCCGTCGCAGACCCACTCTGTCGGGATGCAGCGTCCATCCCCACAGCGATGTTCCCTGGTGGGATTGCAATCTGCAAAAAAGGTACCTCAGTGGCACATGGAGAGCCAGCTGGACGAGCTCTCAGAGCAGTGCGGCTCACAGTCCCAGCTGAGGGGAGTCTGGCTAGTCTGTCTCTACTGTCGGAATACCTTCAATAATTAGCTACAACAGGGCTTGCAACTAAAATTCTGTGTTGTCAATCACCGTGTTGTGCCCAATGACCATAACTGGATAAAGACCTTGTGGAATATGTGGACAGTGGAAAGTCTTAGCTATTGAAAAAAGATGAAACTGCACCTTTGGGGATCTAATGGATGGATCTGGAGGTGATGATACTGAGAGACCATGGCTTCTAAAGTAAGAGACAGAAACTGGATGGTTTCACTTATAAACTGGATGGAAGATAAATAACAAGGAATATTGGTAGAGCACAACAAAAATTATTCTTAGACTTTCTAAAAAGCATACTAGTTACCAGGAATAGGGAGGAGGGTTGAAGGTGAAAGTGTGTAAATATGGAGGTGTGAAAATGTAGCCCTTAAATTATATAGTTATGTAAATGACTGAAAATTAATGGAATGTAAGGAAAAAATAAAATAACACTGTGTTTTGAGTTTTATTTCCCACTATAACAGTTGGTCATCTGGCCACCGTCAGGTGAGGGGCAACCTATTGTTTTTAGGATAACAACTGTCCTGCTTCCTCAGAATCCATCATTTACTGTTTTAAAAAAGATTTTTACTTATTTATACATATAAGAACTGGGGTGTAGGCCAAAATTATGGGAAGGAGGTGACAGGATTCACCAGAAACAGTGAAGAACAGAACAGATGCATCTACTGAAATACACTGCTGAGGGGAGCAGCAGAAGAGACAGGAGAGGTCTGCTATGCTATCTGGGTCAGCTCCTTGGCCAGGGATCGAACTCATGCTGCAGTGGCTGCGGCTTGATCACACTGACACTTTAACCCCCGTGCCATCAGGGAGGCCTTCATTTATTGTTTTTGTGTTTTGTTTTGTTGTTTTCTTCCCTCATAAAAAATTTCTGATTTTTACACTGGCTCAGCTAAACAGAACTATGATTTGGGTTCCACATTGTAAATAACTGGTATGATATATTTGTTACAATCCTATCAAGTTTCAAAGAATTGTGACTTCTTAGTAAATTTGGAAAGGCAAATCTATCTTGTGTTATCTCTCTGGATGCTAAGATTAGGTTTTCCCTCGAACTCTCTCAATATAACAGAACTTGTTTTTCAAAGAACTCCTGGACAAGCAATGCCAAATATGTGTCTACTTTTCATGATTTGTCTTAACCCTGATTTAATCACTGCTCCAAATTGTACATTCCTTAGGAAAGAAAAATAAGTGATTTCTTCTCATAAAGAGTGGAATCCTGTGGGCTTCCTTACCATCAGACAGAACAATTTTAACATAAAAAGTCCTTTAAATGTATGTAGATTCATGATCAAAAGATTCATTAATAAAGGACTATCATGCCACTGCCATAGGTTCCTACAGAGACCATGGATACTAAGGATATATTGGAACAATAAAGTGCAGTATACAGAACACACAGTACAAAGAAAAAAAGACAGTAAGTAGATGCTTGTACAGGAACCAGAAGAGCCTCTGGATGCTCAGCCTACCAAAGACAGGCGGCAGAGAATACTATATGGAAAGTTGTAATTGTTGCCTTATGTAAGGACAAGGTCACCCTATGAGCAAGCACACACTTCATGATATCCATATGACTATGTTGTAAGACCATTCCTTTTTACCTGTTACTATAACCTGGTCCTCTCTATTAACCTATCAACTATCAAGCTGCTCTCCAGTCTTTATTCTTGTCCTTTGCATCGTTCCTTTCTTTTCTCTTTACTCACTAGTAATAGAAGGGGTTGGATTTGATAATCTTTAAGGTGGCTTCGAACTATTACTTCTATGATATATCCAATTACAATTATCTCCTCAATCTTTGTCCCATGGCTAATCAATCCTGGAAGTTAACTAATAAATATCTAGTGACTCTTGGGTATATGTATATATCTATATGGAGGAAGTAAGAAGTGAGGTTAGCTTCATGATGTTTTAGAAACTACCTAGTTTCCCGATATGGGGCCATTTCTGATACATGTCACTTTGAATCACTCCTTGATCACATTCCCGATCCATTCCCAACATTCCTTATTTTTAAATATGGAAAAATATGAGCAAGCTCACATGCTGTGCCCAGTGTCCCTCAGATCTCAGTCTGTCCTTCTGTTTATATCAGATTTTCCATGCCATCCATTAATTTACTTCCTAAAAATTCTAAAGCCAAGTGCAAGGTCCAAAGGTAAGGAATCAAGGATTTTACTGGTTTTAATGAAGAAGCTGGCCTTCAGAATTAAATACAACATTTAAAAAGGGAGGTCTATTCTTTAAAAGATAAGATCTGCCTCTGTACAAAAACCAAATGTGCCATGCTAACCTTAGGTGGCACTATTGCAAGAAGCAGCTTTTGTACTTCTTGCCAATCAAAAAAGGGAGATATTGTTACATATAATAAAAGGAACAGGCACAGTCAATCTGTCTACAAAGATTTACAGAGAACTCAAAATGATCAATTAACTTTAACTAGAGAAAGAACAGAGCATTCTCAAGAAGAAACAGAGATGAATGCACAGTATTAACACCTTTCTTTAACTTTCCACTCCATTTCTTTACCATTCTCTTAGTATGATGTATAAACAAATAAAAGTATTGTATTTACACATATGACATGACCACCTCAAAATTTTTTAAAAACTTCTCAAAAAATTAGGAACAAACTATTTTGCAATCAAGCCCACTAATCACATTAACAAATGATGTTCTTGGTTTAAAATAAGTTGGGAAAAAACCCTTGTTGGTTACAAATTTTTGTTATTTTAAATTAAAACCTTTAGGGAAATAATGCTACTTACCACAGTTTTGTTCATCACTCAGGTCCCCACAATCGTCATATCCATCACACACAAAGCTATAATTAAGGCACTTGCCAGTGTGACAATGAAACAGATTCTCACTGCAATCTGCAAATAAGGGAAGCCACCAATGTGTCAACAGGAGAGAACAGGATGTTGCACTACTTTAACAAAAACACATCAGGAAGGGAACTCATAGTGATGCTCTTATCTACACCTATTGTATTATAGGTGAGAAGATTGTGGAACGAAGATGTCATGACTGGTTCAAGGGCCCATAATAATTTCCTGCAGAATCAAGGCTTGGAACATCTGGATGCAAGTCATTTTCTAAAAATCATATCCTGACTTCTACCTTATGCTACCTAGTCATAGTTCTTAATAAAGTTTATGTTCCTGTTGGATGAGTGACTTTAATGGAGGGTAAGCAGTTACTTCCTAAAAATAATCCTCCAAAACATTAAGTAAAAGACACCAAACATGAAGACTACATATGAAACTAATGAAGTTTTCAGAAAAAAAAAAAAGAGAGAGAGAAAGAAACCAAAGCAGTAGTTATCTTAGGGCACGCTGGTAGGGTGGAGACTGACTACAAATAGAAGGGAGGGAAATTTGGGGGTGTTGAAAACATTTTAGAATTGGAATTTAGAGATAGTTTCACAGTTCTCTAAATTTCTTAAAAATCAGTGTGTTAGATGCATGGCATATATAATTATTCCCCAATAAAGCTATTGAAATGTTTAATATTAATATGTAAAAATTCTTCATTTAACAGAAACTAGATTTCCTAAAATGTGTTTTTCCCTTAAAGGAAATTAAATGCAAAAGCATTTTTCTTAAGTCTGTAGAGGACTCATGGGATATGGGCAAAATTTTCAGTGGTGTGCTGGAGAGGAAAGTTCAGCATGCTTCAAGTAGAAGGAACTGTGAGTGTGAAGGGAAAGGGTACATTCAAGGATATATTTGGCTGGTAAAGATCAAGAATTTTTGGTCAATAGCCCATCTCCTGAATTCTAGCTGACAGTTCTCCTCAAGCAGAAATCTATTATCTTACACATTTAGGTGTGGGTACCTTTTCACTCCACACACTCAAACCTGAATGACAATTCACTTTTCAGTATTGCACCTTGATCAACTACATTGTTAGCCACATCAACAGGTTGTACTTGTTCTTTATATCAATCATTAAATTTGGATGTCAAAAAGCATTCTTCTAAAAAGAAGCTATTGAAATACCTTTTAAAATCACAATATTTAAAAAGAGAATGGGCCCAAGAGAGCCTCTCTTCAGCACCTTCAGTAAGAGGGTGTTCATGTGTACACACTCAAACACACATACTCATGAACATTTGATCACATTTCTAAGTATTTTTTCACATTTCCCCCAGGCTGAATAATTTTCAAAAGAAAATGATCATCAGAAAGGAACATGGGAGAGCAAATGAGGTCAGGACTGCTGCTTCCATTCAGCAGGGAGTGCTGACTTCCCGTCCCGCACCCCTCAGCTGACTGGGGCCAACACAGGCAGGCATGGCTGAGTAGAGAAAGTTCATGGCATCTGTGCTCTGGCCCCAGGCAGAGGTGGGGAACTTAAGCATCAAGATACCTGCACTTCCTGGGAAGGTTGTAAAAGGTCTTTTTTTTGTTTTTTGCTTTAATCCAAACTATTCTTACAGAAAGTTTTGGATCATGAGCAATATTGGCAATAACCAAGGTTTTCAATTTGAGGGTGGGACAAGTATAAAGGGTGGCAGATTTTAAAATCACTGGTTTTTTTTGTTTTTTTTGTTTTTTTTTATTTTGGGACGAAGGACTCAAACACTCCTTTTAGATTCAAATAACCTAAGAGCACACCAAAAATTTCCAAAATAGTTGCGTGTCCTTTGGTGAGGCTTTTTCTGGAATCACCTGTTATTCATACCAGAGCACCTCAGCAGAGATATTATTAAATTACATAATAAGTGGAAATGATTCAAACATTAAAAGAAATCCTTGTTATTCACACAGGTGCAGTTTCAACTTTCCACTGTTGGGGCATTCTCAGAAGCCATTTTCAGAGGTTACATACAAAATTAGCCAAATTTTGAAAACAACTTGTTACCTCATTCTGGTTTGTGTGATTTAATAAACACACAAAACTTTAACCAGAGGCCCGGCACAGCCAGAAATACACAGCAAGTAGGGGAAAAAAAGACAGTGTCTCTTTTATTGGAATGTTTATTTAAACTGAAAAGGGATGTTTTCAGTGCAATTTGGGGCCAACACATCAAAATTTTCAAAGGCAGCTTGTTGTGATTTTCTTACTCAATACAACATGGTTTCATCTGACCTAAAATAGATGTTTTTTAGATATTTTTTTTCCTTAATGAGATACAAAATGTTACTTCTGAAGTTCTCGTGTATTAATATTTATTTCAGTTTGGCACCTTGCTCTTTGAACTTTTGTCCTTCAAAATTATCGTTACACTTTTTTAAGGAGAAAACTAAGAAACAGAAAAACTTTTATAAAACATCCTTCAACTCACTCAATCTCTTAAGTCTATAATCATAATTGTGCTGCCTCTATGCTAGATTCAAGTATGGATTCATAGTTGCCACCCATAAACCCACTCATTCGGACATGACCAGAGAAGTGTATTTGCTCACAGTTGCCCAGCTCCTTAAGAGAAGAGCTGTAGAATGATGCCAGCCTTCTTGACCCCTTGGGTTTCTTTGTCAATTTGCTTCTGGTTCTAAGGAAAAGTTTCTCAACTGCAGTACTACTGACATTTGGAATGGAATGATTCTTTGCTCTGGAAGACTGTGCCGTGCATGGGAAGCTGACTGGGCATTGTACTCACTGAATACCACCAGCACAGCTTCCAGCCTCTGCAGCTGAGATCCTGAAATGTGTCTCCACACACTGTAAGACATCTCCTAGGGGCTTAAATTGCACCTAGTTAAGAATCACAACTGGGGAAAAGATTTGCACTTTCAGAATCCCTCACAATCCTGAGCCTTCCCACTCAAGGTGGGGTATCTTGCTTGGGGATGTCTGTCTGTTTTCAACCTGTCTCATTGCTGCCTTTGTATCCTTTGTTGTGAGATCTGTACTTGTCAGATTTGGGGTTTCCTTCGTAGTGAATTTCTCTGTGTGCATGTGTAGATTTGTTGTGTCTGTATAAGGAGGTGTGTTCAGGTCCTGCCCATCTCAAATATTTTTATGATTTTGATGAACATCTTTCTAGTATTTATCTTCATGGAAATCTTAGTAAGGCTAATAACAAATAGTTATTTCAGTGAATCAGCAACATTTGGAATATGTGTTTTTATTTTGTGCTTTTTGGATTGTCCTCTTCACAAAATAGTCTCAGGTGGTGCTTTTAAGTTGTTGCACCTGCTGTGCTATTTGAGCCCCTCCATAATTTGTCACCTCACTTTTATCAGCTCTTTTCTGGCCATTGCTGCACCCTGGAAGTGAGAGGCACTTGCAGGGTGGGTAGAGAGGGGAAGGAAAGCAGGGTGTGATGACGATGCTAACAGAACCTGTAGTCACATAAATCCTGATGCTCTGTAAGCATGATCATGTGCCAGACCCTCACCTGTCTATATGCTTGACATGCAGCGCTTCATTCTGCACAGCAGTAGCAACAGTTACTATTATTTTGCTCATTTTCATAACAAGAAAACTGAGGCACAAACAGATTAAATAAATAGCCCAAGTTCACAGAAGCAGGAAATGGTAAAGAACCCAGCAGACTGACCTGAGAATTTATTCATCACTATTCTGTACAGTGCAGCTAGTTAAACCACAGTCCTCAAAAATATACCAAGCAACTTTAACCTAAGTTCAGAGGACATGGTATCCAAACTATCTGACAGAGGTTTTAGGTGGTACCATTTATGTAAACATTGTAGCAGCTTTTCCCAGGATACTTCTCCCCCACCCCCCCTACTTACTTGATAAGCACCTGCTAGGTACCAGGCGGAGAGCTTAGAGAGCTTTAGAGAGCGCTCTCCTTATAGGATCAAAAGGTTACAGAACATTAGCAACAAAGGAGACCCCAACACCTTCTGTTCCAGGAATGTCAACTCTGTCTGCACATCAGAGTCGCCTGGGGGAGCTGACAATGTCCTGCAGCTGAGACACCCCACCTCCAGAACAACTGAACACAAGCCTTGCAGATGGGTCCCCTAGAGATGCTTGCGCAGCCAGCCTCCGTGATGGCAAAAGTGAGGGATAGAGAAGTAGCCTGCCTACAGTAGTTTTTAAAAGAAAACTTTTCTGAACTTCAAAATTTTTTTTTTACTATACTATTAAAATTGTTCCCTGTGGTTGGTGATCTGTTCATTTAACAAATATTTAGGAAGAGACTGATAAAAATGACACAATTAGTCATGGGAGAAAGTCCTAGGTACATGGAGTGCTGCTCTATTAGTCAATTACCTCGCAAAGCACATACAGCACCCAAAATAATTCTTTTTCTATCACATGAATGATCAAAATTAAATTGTTCAATCAATCCAAATTTTTAAGGACAAGAATAAGTTAAAGGTGGCAGAGTTTCAGGAAAATAGCTTTCAATTTGGAACCATTTGGGAGTGAGCTCCAACCTAACACTTTGAAACGCTGGTTTAGTCATTCAGCACCCTAAGCCTCTGCTCTAGGTCTATCCAAAAGGGATTTCTTCTCTGTTGATAAGTATACCAAATCTTATAGGTCCATGCTTCTGGTATCGCTCATTAAGGAATTCACAAATAGTAAATCCCTTCTTGCCTTACTTTGAAGATGACTTAAAAAAATAACTCAATACACTATTGAGATATCTAATTTGATTTGTATCATAAAAGCAGGAAAATGCTTAGCAGGGCATCATTTTTGCGTCTAAGCCATGATCTCCTCTGGCTGTATCCCTCCTGTAAATGCTAGAAACTAGGAGCTCAATGTTTCTTTCTGTTCATCACTGGGGATGACCAACAAATGCTCCTTCTCCAGGCAGTAGTGGTGGTCTGCATAGATGTTCTGAGTAGCATCCACACTTTAATTCAGACCCCACTGTCCCTTATGGCATGGTGGTGACAGCAGGGAGTGACCTCTTCTATGAGCATGCATGCTGCAATACCGGCGCGCAGATGTTAACCCTCAGAGGCAGACGTCCTTGTAAGGTCAGGTACAATCACATACAAACCTCCAATGGCTAATAAAGTGTTTTCATAAACAAGGATTTTGAAGGGGTGTATTTGCTCAACTAAACCAGTTCATTTTTTGAAGGTAAGTCTTAAGAAAATAATAAATAAACCTTCCAGGCTCTAGGCCATTGCTAAAAACCTCACAGAATAATAACATTTTGTTCAGTCACTGGCTAGGAAAATTTGTTCTCTGAATTCATTTTCAACAAATGCAGCAGAAAGCACTCACTGTTTCAAGCGCTGTGCTCAGTGTAACAGAGGCACATAATGACGAAGCCAGTATTGAGCCCCGATCTGGAGCAGACACACACACATGATGCATAAATGGGCCAAAACTGGGAGATAAGTAAGTACTTCTATATTGCATAGAAGAACTGGGGTGTAGGCTACAGGTGTGGGGATAAGAAGATTCACCAGAGTGGGGAGCAGAACAGGCACTCTACTGATATACACTACTGAGAGGAGCAGCAGGTGGGCCAGGAGAGGCTTGCTGTGCCATAAATGGGCTAGCTCCCTGGATGTAGTGGCAACAGTACTGAGGCTTAACCCCTAGACCACCAGGGAGGCCCAAATTGGATATAATTTTATTGAATCATTTAAATCCCCATTGCTGCTATTCAACACAATATTTTCTCCTAAATCCATATCATGGAGTTTCTCCTAACTCTAACTCCCTCATGTAATTATATACCCTATAAAAATGTTCTTCATGGAAAATTATGTGTCGTAGGTTTTTTTGAAGAGAGAATTTCAAATAATAAACCAAATGTCTTACTGAAAACATTACTAAAATTATTCATAGCATAACTGAAATTCCACAGAATGTCAGCTAAACTGAATAAATGCATAACATAAATACACAAGTACATAAATAAAGGTGAAGGCATATCTGAGCAAATAATTGAAGAAATACCAAATTGAGCAAAATTAATGTCTTTTTAGGCTGTAGGGCTTCTCAGAAGCTTTAATGCACAAGCACATATTTTAACTCTAATAGGTACATCTGATAGAATTCCTCAAACTTGTTTTTTTCTTCAAGTATCTTTCAAGGCTCAACTACTGGAATGCCAGTTTGGAAAACATGGACTTAAAATATTACCCAATAAACTGCCTCAATTTAGTCAACAAACAAACAACTAATCAAATCAATGGTAAGCAAACTGAGGCAGTTAGAGGCAGAGCTTACCTATCCATGGATTTAAAACTTTCAGGTCATCAACTACCTCCTGGTTTAAACAAACAAGGAGCATAAACAAATAAGCCGTTTTGCACCTGCTGTGTCATAAATATTAAAAAACTTTCCCATTAAAAATGTCATTTTTTTAAAAAGTTGACCTTTATACGCAAAGCTTTAAAAACAAAAACAAAAAATCCTCACCCAAATAAAATAAACAAAAAGCCTTCTCCCAATTTTAAGACTTTGTGCAAAACCACTTTAATCCCTGGCCTGTTCCTATGTGGCCTGGAGCTCTGGCGTCCCTGTGAAATGGGGCCTTTGCAAGGTGTGCAAACACACCCCTTTGCCGCTGGGAGAAGATAAGCACACTTGTGCACTTTAGAAAGGCCAAGCAACTCGTTTACCCAAGTGATGGGTGGTTGTCAGGATGTGACAATGGAATGCCTTTGGTTTCCAGGTCCCCAAATAGAATGTCTGTGCCCAGAGACCAAGCCCCACAGCCTGGCACTTACTGCAGTGAGACTCATCACTCCAGTCGTCGCAGTCGTTGTAACCGTTACACTGCAGGCTTCTGGGGACACAGAACCCGCTGGTACACAGGAAGCTCTCACCCCCTCCGCACAGCGCTGGCAAACATGGACAGAAAAAAACATGTTGGAATGGAAACTTTTTTTTCAATTAGGAGAGATAAGTAAACAAAATAAAGCCTTCCTTTGCTGTGGAACTAAGTTACTTCTAAATTCTCTCAGTTTTATTGTCCATTGTTTCTTGGGTCCTCTAGAGCATTGTGAAATTACCTGGTGATGACACAGAGCTTGTTGTTGGCCTGAGAAAGTGGAAACAGAAGCCTCAAAGGCTGTACAATTTATGTAGCCAAAATACCCAAAGGGAATATAATTTTTAATAACTGGAAATAATCAATGTAAAATGATATTACTTGAACATTTAAAATTCTCTCCTAAAATACTACTCAAGTTGGCAGAGAAAAATATGTAAAAATAGTTGATGTGCATTGGACCACAGGCAGAGAACCAAGTCCTGTATTTGAAATGTATTTACTAACCTTACTGCCAGCTAAAATTGTCAGCAAATATGATTCAATGAAATGAAGTGAATGTAAGGTAAGCTAGAAAGTCTTCTTTTAAAAAAGCATTCAATATAAGGATAAATCCGTTCAAAGTATTAAAATATATTTAATTGTTAAGATATACTTTACTTGTTGAGTGCATCAAACATCTATTAAATATCCATAAACTTTGACCCAGATTTTTTTTTCCTGAAATCTTGGACTTCATATAAGGGAAATCTTTATGAAAAATGCAAGATTTTATTTTTAAGGCTGTTCATACCATTGTAACTTAAATGAAAAAACTATAGAAATTTTTTGCAATATTTACCTCCATAATAAGGTATACTGTGAAAACCATTGAAAAGTGTGCTGAAAAAAATACTTAACATTCTGGGACAATGTTCACGATAATTTTAGTGGAAAACACACCATTTGGTTCTCAAAAGTGTAACACAATTTGACCTGGAAAGAAGGATATCAAAAGTACTGTAACTCTGATTTTAGGATCAAAAGTAAATTTTACTTCTTCATTGTACTTTACTTCACTTTTTTAAAAATAATGTAGTAGTTTATTTTTACATCATTTTGTACATTTTTACTTCACTTTCTAAAAATGTTTTTCCAATGACCATATCTTACTTTTTAATCAGGAAAAAAAATCTTTTATCATGAGCTCAGAGTAACCATAGAAAAACACAACCTTTGAAAACTTTTCTCAGTCTCCCTCCCTCTACTAAAGCTAGTGCCGTCCTTGGTCTGCTGTTTGGGCAGCTGCCTGTTTACCCCACCCTCCCTGGAACATGCACTCCTTGATGCGATGAACTCTGTTGACTAAACCAAAATTGGACATATGGAATATGTGAAGTAAGAACTGGAAATACAGAAGGTACAGACTGGACACTCCTGCTGAGAAGGCCACTTCTCTCATCATCACCATGTTCCTGGGTACACGGTCCTATCAGGAGGCATAAATATCTAACAGGGAAAAGTCACCTCAATCTCTAATGGAACACAACATGTTACCACAAAGCAAAGGGGAAACAAATGTGGTTAGTGCGGATTATTTCCAACACTATGAAAGAAATGAGCATTTTTATTTGCTGAACAAAGTATGAGTTGATTTGGTCAGTTTCTTCTGATGTTACCTGAATCATACTCTTCACAAGATCAACTACAAAAGTCTGTTTCCCCATGGCATCCCTCATTTCAGTATCAATACAAATGACATCTATGGATTTCCACTGCCAAAGTAGTCAACATCTTTATATTTTGTATCATCTTAGAGGATTCAGCAAAGAAATGCATTCCTGTAGCTACAAATACCAACTTCTAAAAGGAACACAGGAAACCACATCTAAAACAATAAGCCAAAACACTAAAATTTTACTGGCCAGTCTGTACAATAGCCCCTCTCTTGGGTTAAGAGGAAATTTTCAAAGAATAAGTGTTTATCCTAGTGTGAGAGTGTTTCTATATTATACTGGAAAGTACAGAAATTCCATCTGTCTGCATTTCAGCAGCTGCAATGCCTCAAGAATTATTGCATTCCCCACCTATGGCTCTGATGATTCCTTGGGAAATGTAGCTGAAAGCTCAAGATTAGAAAGCTCTTTACATCTAGATTTGCTCTTTAAAACCTTATAAATTTTATTCCAGTAAAGCTAGTTTTTTTGTGGATGTTAGATCAAATCTGGATCAAATTTAAAACACGGCATTGCTGGCATTGTTTTGATTATCGATATTCCTTGTCTGGGCTGATTCAGCAGAAATGGATTTCTTTTGTGTGTTCAGTGGGAGGTGTGGTTGCTCATGGTTTTAGGATACTGGAAAGAGTTTCTTTACTCTGTTTATTTTGGAAGTTTCATTAATCAATATTTTAGTAAAAATTGGAATAACCTTTGTATAGTATATCATTTCTTTTATACACACACACACACATACATATATACACATATAGATATATTCCATCATTCTTCATTTTATACTTTTTTTTTATCTGGTTGCAATCCCCATAGACTTCCCACCACCAGTCACCCATGAGCCATCACCATAGTTTCGTGTTCATTTCTTTTTAGCTGATAAGCAGAATTTCCATTTTTAATTATGCAGAGCTGTCCAACTAACAGAATGCTTCATAAACATCTCGCCTTTCAAGTAGCCTAAAACATAGGTAGCATTCCAGTCACAACTTTTTGGGGAGGGGTTGTAGTTACACATGTAGCTGGAGTCTCATGGGATTGACAGCTATTGCACACAGCCAGCTAGCTAGGGAAAAACCAGTCTACAATGGTGAGGGATGGCATCCAGGTTCAGTCCTCTGTACCACACCCACCGCCTATTTCTAGTACAG